ATAGTATAGAATAGTATAGAATAGTACAGTATTTTATAAACCCCCAACCCTGACCCCAACCCTGCGCAGGCCTGCACAAAGCCAGGATGCGTGCTCTGGCCGCAAGTGGATTGCTGCAGGGCGTACGAGTTTTGGGCTTAGGGTTTAAGGTTTAAGGTTGAAAGGTTTAGGGTTTCGTGTTTAAGGTTTAGGATTTGGGGTTTAGGGTTTAAAGTGGAGGGCTCATGGGTGGTCGCGAGAAAGGCTTAGAAAGCCTGGTTCCCAGCTTTTCTGATAAGCTGCCTCAAAAACGGCTTGTTGGTTCCAGGCGTCAGGCCCATGGGCGATTCAGACTTCAGGGCTTTGGGATTGGGTCTTTGGGTGTCTGAGGGCTTGGGGTTTGCGGTCTAAACTTAAACCCTACAGAAGAAATCCCAGCCCCTAAACTCTAAACCCTTAAACTCCTAAACCCCCAAACCTTAAACCCCGAAGCCCTAAATCCTAACCCCAAACCCCTCACCCCTAAACCCTAAACCCCGACATCCTGAATCCTAACCCCTAAACACTAAACCCTTAAACCCTAAACCCCTAAACCCTAAATCCTAACCACCCCTAAACCCTGAACCCTAGACCCCCTAAACCCTAAACCTAAACCCCCTAAGCTCGTCAATCCCTAAACCCAAAGTGTTGAGCGAGAATTACTTCAATTGTTGGGTTCGCCAAAGAGTGATCCTAATTAACCATAAACTTAGGGGTACTTGGAAATAATTTTTAATCTTTGGCTACTATAAACCCTAAGAAACAGCTAAATTGTAATTTTTGCTAGGGGTCTAAGTTCAGTATAGTAAAATTGGTTAGCCACAAAAAAGGAACTACAATGGAGACGAGAGGTAGGTTTTAGGGTTTTAAGATTTAGGGTTTAGGGCCTTGCTAGACCCGCCGGCTACCCTCGCAAATACATATTAAATAGCTACTACTACGGTAAATCCTAAACCATGAGCGCTTTGCATCTAACCCTGTAGCAACCCTTATAAATCCCTTTAAGGAAGCCCCCTTGAACCAACAAAACAAGGAACTACAATGCAGACTAGAGGTAAATCCCTAAACCCTAAGTTAAGCCCTACGCCATAAGCCCTAAGCCCTAAGCCCTAAGCCCTAAACCCTAAATCCTAAACAGCTTCTGTGCTCGGAGCCTCCCAGCGGCGAAGCTGGAGGGCTAGGGTGCTCCTAGCCTACTGATCCCGGGCAATGGATATCTTCTTAGGGAAGAATGCCGGTGCGACCCTGCAAAAAAGGATGGAAAGTTTGAGGAATGTCGGCTGGATTATCTCCAAGGACATCGACGACATCCAACTGGACTATGCTTTCACCACCGTGGTGCAGATCAAAGAGATGACAACCAAGAAGCACGGAACTGTTTCGATGGTGGACCTGCGCCTCTCCAACGACATTGAGAACGTCCCCTTGGACAGACGACCGGTTACTACAGCAGAAGAGTTGCCCTTTGATGCTACAGCCTTTGGCTTGCCGGTCAAGAAGGGTGAAGTGTACATGCTATGCGGAGCCAAGATCTTGCTGAACCTGCAAAGGGAAAGATCAATCAGATTCCCCCCCATCACGGAGTCCACTGCATCTATCGTCCTCCCGGCCAAGGCTGATGCTATTGTCTCTATGATGGAGATTTTTTCTGGTGGTTTTGGTGCGTGGACTATGGCAAGTACAAAGCTTCCAATGACAAGCATCCTACGGATTGACAATGATGGTATGGCCGTGGCATCCACGTTGTTGAATGATGCCGATGCAGTATTGCACAACATGGATGAAGACCAGGAGACCTTTTCGCTCTTCTGGGGAGAGGCTGTTGACCTCAGATGGGTCAGGGCCATCCATGGGAAAAACGTCGAGGTGGCATGTGCATCCCCGCCCTCTGACGGCTACAAAGCTGCTGGTGACTCAGAAGGTCTCAAGAATGGCAAGGCATCGATTGCTTGGATGCAGCTCTTCATCGTGGCTAGACTGACACAGCGACGAGTCTTTGTCATTGAGACCCTCCCTGGACTCGCGAGGCATGATGATCTGCAAGTGATTATCAGGATTATGAGGTGGGCTGGGTATACTACAACATGGTATGGCTTTTTGGACTCCAGCTGCTTTGTGCCTATTGAGAGAAAGCGCTTTTTCTTGATATGCTGGAACACTGCAGACACGGACTCCCTCATGAAGCCCTTCCAGATGATGAAATTTGGCCCTCGAGAGCCAAAGCAGTGCCTCTCAGCAATCTGGCACATGATGCCGGGGGAGCTCCTCTCTACGGTGAAGCTCCGACCCATGGACATCACCAAGGTGACCAGCCGAGAGCTTCTGCCGAAGTACCAGCAGAACATACCAGGGTCACCTCTGCACATCAGGATCATCAACCAGGCCAAGCCAGCGCCACCTTTGCTTGGCAACTACAGGCACATCTTGGACACACCATGGGTGACACTCAAGAAGAGAGGCCTCAACTTGCCGTTGGTTTTCCAAGGTGCAGAAGTCAGAATGATTTCCAGATGGGAGCTACTCAGGCTCTTCGGCCTCCCTGCAACTACAATTCTGCCGGACAACGAGGATGATGCGCATATTCTCCTTGGACAAGCCCTCACACCTGCGCAAGCAATCGTGGTCCTTGCCTCCGTGGTTGGTCACAGAGCAGAGGACCCCATGGACAACGACACCATGCTCAGGTATCTGGATGCAGGACTGCAGGAGCTCGAGACAACCTGGTGCCCATTCAGCAACATGAGACCATTCTGCATGTCTGGATGGTCAATGCTGGTGCGAACCACAGTGGAAACTACGCCTACGGACCTGGACCAGCTTCGTACAAGACTGCAGGCCAGCCACATCCAGCTCAAGGGCCGTACGGCAAGACGCAAGGAAGAGGCCATCCCTATCTGCCAGAGTCCTCCAGACTTTTGTATGATGATCTTCCGGAAGACAGAGAGGAGCCAGACCCCAGGGAGTACAAGCTCTTCATGACTGGCAATGGTTATTCTACGATTGTCCTGGATGACAGCGACTCGGTCACCACAGTCAATGCCAAAATTGCTGAGTTCATGCTCCTCCCGGAGAACAAGGTGGCAGTCACCAAACTGTCGCACCCAACCAGGGAGACCCAGAACTGGATCCTGGCAGGCGAGATCCCAGATGCCTGGTACGAGAAGGTGTTGATTTTAGTGGACCCGGCAGTCCCGGCAGCATACTGGATGTCCCACAACATCGACAAGCGGGACCTCAGCGAGACCTATGCCGACCACCACAAAGCATTGCCGGACATTGTCACCTTGAATGATGAAGAGGTCATGGGTTGGCCAATCTCCTTGGTATCGGGCGACGTGATCAGGCTACGCTGGGATGGACACTCCTCGGATGAGGCATGGAAGGAGTTGGATGTTTTCAAGAAGCTTGACGAGGATTTCCAGGCTCCACCAGACACTCCTCAAGATGAACGTCCTGAAAGCAGTGAAGGAGGCAACACAGAAGACCCGGAGGATGCAAGCGACGACCCGCCGCCTCCAACTGGTGCGCTACACGACGGCGATGCTGAGGGACATTCCACCACAGCTGCTACCGAAACGGTGCCACCCACTGTCCCCTACGAGGTCACACTCTCGGCCACGGACACGCCCACGCAGTTGGACTATGCTCCCACAAACCGCCATGCAACCAAGAGGCGATGCACGGATGAAACCAGGGAACTTGCGAGACTGGAGGCCGCGGTGGAGACGGCTACTGTCAACTATGCCTCCATCCAGAGCAATCCCCCCATGGCGAACGCAGTCTACATGTCCTTCCAGAACCAGGTCATCTCCTTTGCCAAGGACGACCCACGACCACTGGAAAGAATAGCAGAGGATGAATGGGGAGTACAGTCGCACATGATCTATTTCACACTTGGAACCAAGGTGCTGGGAAAACAGACAATGGCACACCAACTCCCCATTGGTGCTACAGTCATTCTACGTGGTCGACTTCGTGGAGGAACAGGCCAAGCGGTCCAGAAACTCCGGGCGATGCTGTCCTCCAAGGGCGTTCCAGACGAGAACCTGGACAGCAGAATCCAAGAGATTCGCAGTCATATTGGTGATGCTGGAATAAAAGAAGCTTACAGCTCCTGGGACCCCTGGACAAACCTCAAAGCCAAGATGCCGACAAGACTTGTAAAAGAGGCTGAAGTCAAGGCGAAACCCAGAGCCAAGTCGGTCCAGTCTGAGGACCAGGTGGACCCCATGCAACTGCACGACCCTTGGGGCCAGGCCCTCAAGGAGCGCGGAATGTGGAAGTTGGAGACTTCTTTCTTTAAAATGGAGGATGGATCCCCACCGCCCTCACTGGACAAGATCACGCATGGGGCCAGAGGTATTGCCTTCATCAATGAACGAGAAGCAGAGGTGTTGACACAGAGCCAGGAGGTTATGTCAGACCATGAACTTGCGGCATTGGTTGTTGCTGCCAAGATCCAGAACCCGGGGAAGTTCTCCATCAAGGACATTGAGACGCCATGCAGAAGCAAGGACAATGACCGTATTCTGGTTCGAGCACAGCTGCTCAACTTGGGAGCAAAGATGATTACACTACAAGATGAAGGCAGTGTCCTGACAGTGGATGAGATCGATGCCGTGGTTGTTGCTTGTGAAGCTATCAATGAGGAGATGGAGGGAAATGGTCGAGACTTTGCTCAAGACAGTCATCCCTGGAATGTATTTTTCCCCGCGCAACGACCAAGGAGCACTTGATCCTGACTACAAGGTCATTTGGTTCAATGAACTCCAGCTCTCCGACCTCATCATGAAGGCCAATATGGAGCAGCAAGCCTACGGCATTGTGCGAAACAAGAGTGGCCACGGAATCAGGGTGAGGTCTTCGGACTTTACAAAGATGAAGCAGAAGTGGCAGCCTGCGTGGAAGCCTCTGGAAAATACACCGTATAACCTGCAGGTGAAGATGCACTACGAGCTCCAAAATATGCCCCTCTGTTGTACGAAAGCTGAAGTCCAGAGGTTTCTCAGTCAGATCAACTGGGAAGCCCTGGCGTTGAAGCAAATCAAACCCAGGACATGGCTCATTGGTGCTGCAAACGGACCGGACAAACGGGTCCACCTGGCCGCTCACGGGACAGTGCTTATTGCTGAGAAACTGTCCAAAGGAGGTGGCAAAGGCAAGTCTGACGGCAAGGGCGCGACTGGGAAAGGTCGTCCATGGTGGGTGGCAGGTGCATCGACTACACCGGCGGCACTACTCCAGAAGCAAACGATCCAGACACAGCCACAGATGACAATGGACATGGATGCCAACGAGCTTGAGGACAAGATCCAAAAGAAGATGGACCAGATGCACCAGGAGTCCATGGCATCGACCCGCCTCCTCAGGCAGGACTTCCTCAGCTTCCAGAAAGAGGTCATTGCCAAACAGAAGGAGCAAGACAAGATCAATGAGACGGTGGCGACCAACGTCCAATCCATCACCACCTCCCTCTCGGCGGAGCTCACCCAGCATGTCCAGAACATCACCTCGGCTATCACAGCCCAGAGGACGGAGTTTGCCCAAGATCTAAGAAGTTCTCAGATCTCCCTCAAGGAAGAACTTATGGGAGAGATGAGGACCCAGATGGGAGCAATGAGGAAGAGGACACCCAGCCCCTCGAATAAGGAAGACGAGGCCAAGAAGGCCAAGCAGTGATGCTCACAGAAGATTTTAATTCATCTGGAAACTTTTCTGGATGGTGGTACAGTACAGCCTGGCAACAACTACCGACTGGGCTATGACGTGCATTCCTTCTATGGCGTGGATGAAAGCAGACAAGCTGGAAGAAGCCATGGATGGATCAATTCAGACATGAATTCGTATAATTGGAGTGGTTTTTTGTGGGAGACTTTCTATCGAGGCGGCATTTTGTCGCCTCCACCGTGGTACGTGGGAATGAGGATTGGTGAAGCTTCAAACCCAGGACCGTCGACAATGACATTTTCGGCGATCAATGTACAATCCCTCAACGCATTTGTTGACGACGGCCGGGCAATAGGCGACAACGCGGATGTCCTCATCTACACGGAGACTGCGGCCACTACCTTCGTACAGCAGAAAATGACCAAGGCAGCTAGAAAAGCGGGGAAACATGTATGTCTCAGCCACCCTGTGGACAAGAGGACCTTCAAGGACCACCGGGACTGCATCACAAAGGGACAATCACAAGGTGCAGCAATTGTCTCTTCGGCCCCTTTGCGGAGTTCTTCGACGGAATGGCCACAAGATATCTGGAAGACTGCTAGAGTGGTGGATACAATGGTGGTTACAGAGTTTGTTGTGGTCATGGTCATTGCAATATATGGATACCACAGAGGTTTTCCTGACGCTGCCACCAAGAATGAGGAGCTTTTCCGGGCAGCTGTACACAAAGCATCTGTGGTCAGATGCCCTGCCCTTATGCTGGGTGATCTCAACTGCGACTTGCAATCACTGGCTGTATGGGATGCAATGGTGCAAGAAGGATGGAGTGATGCAGCTATGATACAAAGCCAGATGGATGGAAAACCTATGGCCAATACCTTTCAAGAAACCTCGAGGCTGGACTACATCCTCATGAACAACCTGGCAAGAATGGCCTTCCAAGGTTTTGGAGTATCGGAGCAGAACGAATCTGACCACAGAGCGGTTTATGCTTCATTTGCATGGGACTCCATCCCCAAGCACATCTGGACCTACAAGAGCCCTATGGACACCTCCAAGCTCGACCTCACTGCAATGGAACTTCAAGAGGCTTATGTACCTGCAGCTTGTCTTGCGGAACTGGATCAAGCTATTCAACACAAGGATATTGAAGAGGCCTGGACAAAGTTCTGCAAAGCATACGAACAAGGAGTCAGTTTTTCTCTGCAAAGGAAGAATGGTACGAAGCCCGACACCAACTTCTTCGGCCGTGGTACAATGGTACTCCACAAGCAAACGACGAGCCAAGAACCCTGCCGAAGAGCTCGAATTGGTGACTTTCAGCCATCTGGAGATGAAAATACGCTTCTGCTGCGACAAAGGATCAGGCAAATTCGTCGTCTACAGTCCTACCTGGGACAGCTCAAGGCGGCGGATACAGCTGACAACCCGCGGAACAAAGCCCTGGCTATGGACGCTGCTCTACAAACGTGGAGATCCATTTGCGCTGCAACAGGGTTTGGCAGATCCTTTCGTCAATGGTGGCTCCAAGAACATTGTGACTGGTTCCCACACGTAGCTCCTGACAGTCGGATGGCTGAGTTTATGCTTCAAAGTCTTAAGAGTGATGAGCCTCAGTGGAGAAGTAGACACCGTGCTGAGAGGAATAAGCTACTATCGTCGGTTTTCGCTGAGGACTGGAGGCTAGGTGGCCCCAAGCATTACCAAGCCATTCGATTGCCCCACACGCCCAAAGTGGACTCGTTGAATGTGGCAACTGACCACATCATAACAATTCGCAGACGACGGCAAAAGGGATCACAACTATGTACTATGGTTGACGATGACCTCCAGATGGTGATGATTGGTGCGATATGGAAACAGGGAAAGGCAGAAGCACAGGTGCAGTCTGTCAAGAAGGGACAAGTGTTACTACGGAACATCAAGGGATGCATGGTGTCTGGTGCTATTTCTCAGTTTCGTCCTACTGCGAACCCTGTTCAAATCCTACACGCTGCGAAAGACTATTGGTCTGGATATTGGAACCCACCTACTGAGATTGATGCCCATGATGCTGAAGTCCAACAAGCTGTACACTCTCTGCCCCAGCTGCCTGAAATGCAACTTTCCATATCATTGCAAGATTTGGAATGGGCTCTCTCATCTATATCGGTCAAAAAGGCCAGAGGACTGGATGGTTTCTCCAACTTTGAGTTCAAGAACCTCCCTAAGGTTCTCAAACCTTTTCTTGTTCGACTTTTTGAGTTATTCAACCAAGGAATGTGGCCCCAAAACCTAAAGAAAGCGAGGATGGCGATGCTTTACAAAACTGAGGAAGTCGGAGACATGGCTACAACGAGACCGATTACAATTCTTGCCACGACGTACAGAATTTGGGCCCGTATTGTCACCAAAAAGATGTTGCAACATCTAAGGCCACACCTCCCTCGGACCCTATTTGGATCGGTTCCAGGCAAATCAGCAGGTGATATGGTGTCGGTGGTGCAAGGTCAGCTGGAACAAGCCCTTTTACAGGAACAGCAGCTGATGGGAATCTCTCTGGATTTTTCCAAAGCCTACAACACATTACCCAGAAACATCCTTCAGTACATTAATACCAGACTGGGTTTGGGCAAGGCTTGGGATGCATATCACCCCTTTCTCGCTGATCTTCAAAGGTTTTTTACTTGTGGCAAAGCATATGGGTCGGCGGTACGATCGACCACGGGAGTACCTGAAGGCTGCCCCATCGCGGTGGTACAGATGATAATCCTGACATGGTCTTTTACTGCATCTCTCAAACAGCGACACGAGGTGGTGCTTTATACGTATGTCGATGACTGGATTATGCTTTCCAGAAACATGGAGCAGTTGAAAGATGCCATGCACACTATGGAAAAGTTGGCCAACAAGTTTGGACTACTTTTATCCACGGCAAAGTCTGCAGTTTTTGCCACCAATAACAAGATCACGAGGCAACTTCATGCTATGATGATGTCTTCTGGTATCAACATAGGAGTGTGTGTGAATTTTGCTGGATTGGGTATCAGTTTCCAGACGGCAAAGGCAGCTTCTACCACCACCAGAAACTCCAGATGGGACAAAGCGCGCAAACTTATGGAAAGGTTGCAATACATGCCATGGACACAGCAACGCAAGACTGATATTATTTCTCGTGCTATTCTTCCTCTGCTGTTTTATGGGGTGGAAAACGTGGTCACTGGGAAAGATTTCCTTCGCGAAGTACGTTCCAAATGTAACCACACGGTATGGGGGAAGCAGCAATACCATCTTCATTTCTTGACCCCACTTTTTAGTGGCACAATCTATGAACCCTTCCTCTACATTGCGGACAAAAGATTCAAGGCCATGCTACGAGCGGTGTCTTTGGATTCGGATATGGTCAAGACAAACTGGAGACTGTCTTTGGAAAAGATGGCTTATTTCAAACGGAAGACAAGGGGGCCTATGTCAATCCTACAAAACCAGCTCAACGACATGGGTTGGGAGATGGAAGTGGATGGGAAGTGCAACTCCCCAACAGGACATTCTTTTTACATTTGGGACATCTCGGTACCACAGTTTAAACAAGTTGTCATGGAATCCTGGGAAAAATCCTTGCTGCAACACCTGAATATCAAGGTGAATCTGGAAGACCTTCAATCTTTCTCGATTCAACGAACGCGTGCTGATGCTTACCCTGATCCTATGATACAAGGGTTCATGCGAAAAGTCAAGCTGGGTGGTCTTTTTCCGAACCACAGACTACACCACGTTACAAAGGGCGAGACCACTTGTTCTTATTGTGGAGTACGTGACACGTTGGAACATAGGGTTTTCAGCTGTCCGGCTACTGAAGAAGTTCGTGCTACAGACAAATGGGATCTCTTGAAGGACCAGCCGAAACATTTGCTCTTGGGAGGGTTGTCTCCTCAGCTCCCCCTCATGGAACAATATTCCCAGATGCTACAAACAGTCCCGGAGCCACAGACTCTCCCTCTTATGGATGACGATGATGTGGCGGAGTTTTTCACGGATGGGTCAGCCATTGATTCCTCTAATGCAATTACAAGGTTGTGTTCTTGGTCGGTCACACAGGCCAAATACATGGACAGACAGAACAAATTGATATCGTCTGGAATCTTGCCAGGGAAACTTCAGACGGTCTTCAGAGCAGAGCTTTTTGCAGTGATTGTGGTCTTGGCGCTACAGAAGAAGTCCAAGATATACTGTGACAATGCAGCTGTTGTTAGAGACATACAACACTTGCAGCAATACGGTTATCAAGACTTGAAGTGGTCTACACATGCGGACAAGGACCTCATGAAGACAGCAGCTAGGCTACTACTTGGAAGGCCCCAGTCTCCAGTATCGATCTGTTGGATCAAGGCACATAGGGAAATCCACCAAGCCTGCAATGCCTTTGATCTTTGGGTTATTTTCCACAACAACATCGCTGACGAGCAAGCAAAGAAGGCAATATCTTCCTGTCCTCTTCTGGTCTACCAGTGTCGTCAAGAGCTCAAACAGAAGCTACATCAGGATGCAACAATCAAGAAGTCTGCTGCTGAGGTATTGCGAATGGTGATGGATGAGTTTTAGATGGTTTCCCAAACACTGCATGCAAAGTCTGTGGTTGTCTCACGTGGTCGCACCGGGGACTCCCATGTCAATCGTGAACCTAAATCCTAAACCCTAAACCCTAAACCCTTAACCCTAAACCCTAAGCCTAAACCCTGCCCTAAACCCTAAACCCTAAACCTTTAACCCTTAACCCTAAACCCTAAATCCTAAACCCTAAACCCTGTATTTAAGTATTAAACCCTATACCCTAAATCCTAAACCCTAAACCCTAAATCCTAAACCGAAACCTAAACCCTAAACCATGAGAGCTTTGCATTTCAAGGTTGAGCCGGCGGAGTGCGATGAGCGCGTGGACGCCGCAATGCCGCCGGCCTGCACTTGACGGTTTAGGGTTTGAGGGTTTTAGGGTTTAGGGTTTAGGGTTTAGTTTTTGGGGTTTTAGGGTTTAGGGTTTAGGGTTTAGGGTTTTAGGGTTTAGGGTTTAGGGTTTAACCCAGCGTTGTTTCCTCTGAGGGGTAGTACAGGGGCCAATCAATAATTGCCACATATTATTTTGGGGGTTCTTTATTATAACTATAGTAGAAAGGGCCCGAAGAACCCTGTTCTAATTGTTCAGGCCCCTAAACTCTAAAGGAACCCTGTACAACCCTTTCAAATTATTATCAGGCCCCTAAGACTCCCTACAGCACAGGGTTTAGGGTTTAACGGTTTAGGGTTTAGGGTTTAGGGTTTAGGGTTTAGGGTTTAGGGTTTAACGGTTTAGGGTTTAGGGGTTCCTGTGAGGGTTTAGGCTTGTGGTTTAGGGTTTGGGGTTTAGGGGTTTTTCCTTGCAGGGGAGCTACAGGGTTTTAAGTTTGGGGGCTTTGAGCGCAAGCCTGCCATTTTTAGGGTTTGGGTTTTAAGTTAAACCCTACACCCTACACCCTAAACCCTAAACCCTAAACTCAAAACCCAAAACTCCTAAACCCCAAACCCTAAACCCTAAACCCTAAACCCTAAACGCTAAACCCCAAACCCTCAACTCCTAAACCCTAAACCCTTAGGGTTTGAGGCTTTCGGGTGTGGCTTTAGAGTCTGTGGGGTGCAGGCTTCAGGGTGGCTTCCTTTGCGTTGGACTCTGGGGCCTAGGGTTCCTGAGCTTCAGGGTTTAGGGTTTAGGGTTTAGGGTTTAGGAGTTGAGGTTTTAGGGTTTAGGGTTTAGGGTTTAGGAGTTGAGGGTTTTGGGTTTAGGGTTTAGGGTTTAGGAGTTGAGGGTTTGGGGTTTAGGGTAAGTAAGATTCCCCGAAGTCTCATTACCAGGTTTGTTACCGACACAAACTTGTTAGTCCGTATAGCATACCCTAAACCCTAAACCCTAACCCTAAACCCTCAACCCTGCCAAACCGAATCCCTAGGCCTTGACGAGTGCATAGGGATTGCCATCCTGCGGAGTGTGAAAAGGCATCCGCAAGACGTTACACCCAGAGCCCTAAACCGACTCGACCCTAAACCCTAAACCCTAAACCCTAAACCCTAAACCCTAAACCCTAAACCCTAAACCCTAAACCGTGGATGCCCCAACCGGAACTTGGCTCAGCCCTCCTTTTGGGTGGTATCGGGGGTGGAGTGTTTAGGCTGTAATATGGGGGCCTTAAGAATTGGAATAGTGTTTCGGGGCTTAGGGTTTAGGGTTTAGGGTTTAGGGTTTAGGGTTCAGGGTTTAGGGTTTAGGTTTTAGGGTTTAGGGGTATTTTATACTATAATTTTAATAAGGAACCCCCGAAGCCCTGTTCGAATTATTCAGGCCCCTATATTAGTTGGATTTTTCTTTGGGTCCACGGAAGGGGTCCCAAAGCCCTCCAACACAGGTCAAGCTCAAACTAGGCTCAAGCCGTCTCGATGGTTCATGAGTGGTAGCAACATACTATGAATGTGGTTCATAGACAGTACGTTAACGTAATTACACTTGCACTTCTTATAACTGCAACAGACCTCTCACCTTAGTTCGTATTCCCCCTTTTTTACTACTCCGAAGGCCAACCCTTGCCCCAGCCCCGGCAAAACGCACCCGAATCGTCCGAAACCCTAGACCCTAAACCCTAAACCCCAAATCCCTAAATTGAAAATCCCTACACCCTCAATCCTTGCAAAATCCCTTAACCCTAAACCCTAACTCCCTAAATCCTTAAATCCTTCAATCCCTAAAACCCTAAATCCTCAAACATCCCCAAGCCCTAAGCCTAAGTCGCGTGCTCGAAGGAAGGCCTACCAGTGGGAGCCCTCGGTCTCGGCGCTGCGGGGCCGCTGTTGCTCCACGGACCCAAATGCCCCCCGGCTGCAATGATTCATAGGGTTTAGGGATTAGGTAGGGTTGAGGGTTTAGGGTTTTGGGTTTAGGTAGGGTTTATGGGTTTAAGTTTTCGGGTTTAGGGTTTAAGGTTTCGGGTTTAGGAAGGGTTTAGGATTTAAGGTTTCGGGTTTAGTAGGGTTTAGGGCTTAGGGTAAAACTAGGGTTTAGGGGCTTCGGTTAGACAGCTGACGACTATTTCCACTCCTACTTACTGCTGCTCCTGCTGCTACTGCTGCTGGTACTGCTGCTGCTACCGCTGCTCATCCTGCTACAACAACAACAACAACAAGGTAGCA